GAGTGAAGTGGAGCCTGCGGAGGAAACACTGGGACCGTCTGGATGTAAACCACTCTCTCACTCTGCTCTCTCTCACGTAGGCGCAGAACGTATGTGCTACTTGGCCGTCAGATGTAGTCTTTGTAGTGTGTTCAAATGCAACTGACACAGGGCGATGTGAAGTGACGTAGACGACGCAACAGTTGGCTTTCTTCGCTGCTAGTTTTTTGGTGTCGGTTGGGTGTGTCCGCACCTTAAGTCTTTCAATTTGCGTCAGCACACAGCCAGCTCTGTCTCATACACAGGCAGCCAGATGAGCTTGTGACCACACCGTCCCTGCACTTAACCCTCTATGGAATTATGTAGTCTTTGGGTAACATACCCATATTTGGCCGTTTACACTCACACAATATATCCTCAATTATGATGCCATACTTTAAATATGTGCCAGGGACCTAAGGAAACCAATAGCACTGTTCATAGTCTCCTATATTTCCAAGAAATTTTCTCAATACAATTTTTGGTCTTTCAAGTTTGTTTGAGTTAATGTGTTACATACAACATTCAGCTTTTCTAAGCTCAAAGAAAGGAAAAGTTTTTAAGGGATTCAGACTCACTCTGTTGTGGAAAAACAAACTGTTAGCCATCACTTAACCCACTAAACCACTGACATAACACTACAGTTATTGTTCCTAAGGTCTCCTAATTTGCGTCAGCACACAGCCAGCTGTGTCACACATAGACAGCTAGATCAACTTGTGACCACACTGTCCACATTCTTAACTCTCTATGGTATTGTGTTGTCTTTAGGTAACAAACCCATTTTTAGCCATTCACACTCACATCCTTAATTATGATGCAATACTTAGAAAAGTGTCTGTGCCCTTCTGTACCCTAAGGAAACCAATAGCACTGTTTGTAATTTGAGTACGTTAAGCCTGAGATGAGGGAAACTGAGTTTTACGTTTTTGTGTGGATACCTCATGCAATGATTTATGAGTGCTTATATATTTAAGGATTCCCTGGTGCAACTGGCTGCATTGATGGGACTCACATCTTCATCATAGCTCCATCTGAGAATGAAGGAGATTATGTGAATCCTAAATCAATTCACAGCATCAGTGTGCAGGTAGACACGACAATAGGTACTGTCTTTCAAAAGTTTCACTTCATAATTAAAAAAGGCCATTTCAGATTATAACATAACATTTCAGTTAATAAATTACATACAAAAGCACAATAACATCATGAATTAAAAGAAAATCTATTTTATTCTCATGTATGAGAGTAAGACATGTCTTGTAAGAAAGTTTATTTTTTGACTTTTTAAAATTTGGGCAAATGTCTCTACAGTAAATTGATTAGCCAGCAAATACATTTATCCGTGAGATTCCCTGGGGGATTTTTTCCCCCGTTTTTTTAAGTAATGACTGCAGCCACAAACATTTTGACTCTATACTATCTCTTGAAGTCTCTGCAAGCTTCCTTTTGTGTAATATACTGCAACTAATGATGGTTATTAGTCTGCACTGAAGGTGATAAGTGATGCAGCTCACATCATCACCAATGTTGAAGCCAAATGGCCAGGCTCTGTCCATGCCTCACAGATTTATCGTGACTCTACATTGAGCCATACATTTGCACAGGGTAAGTTAAAATTTGATTTTCCCTCCTTCAATAATTGTGGAATTTAAATTTCAAAACTGTAACGTGTACCTCCACTACTCATTTTTACAGCCTACAGTTTAATGGTATCCTACTTGGTGACAGAAAGTACCCCTGCCTGCCCTCTCTGATGACCCCCTTACCTGGACCCTGAGCCTGGACCACAGCAACACTACAACCTGGCTCACTGCAGAACTAGAGCAAGAACTCAGATGACCATTGGCATTCTCAGGGCCCACTTCCAGTGTCTGCGTCGGCTCAGGGTCACGCCAGAGAGGGCATGTGACATTATTGTGGCCTGTGTAGTGCTCCACAATATTGCTATATTGAAAGGAGAGCGACAACCTGCCACAGAGACATGACCCAGAGGAAGACCATCCCTACCACCCCACTGATGGGCAGGATGGAAGAGCAGTCCGAGATGCAGTGTCTCGCAACCATTTTTCTTAGTAATCCCCTCGTTACCTCCCACCAGTCCCCTGTCAGATGAGATGACAGTGCATTTTTGTTTCCTTAAGCATTATTTACTACTTTCAAATAAACTGAGGACAGACATGATTTATTTCAGATGAGATTTATTTTTCTGTATTCTTTATTTCCTGCAAATAAAGAGACAAATGCTTTAACATTATATATTTGTATATTAAATTGATTTTCCATAATTTTTGCACTTTGAGCACCCTTCTTTTTGTTGACATTTTGGTATCGATCTCAGCCGGTAAACAGGATGGACATAAAAAGTTGTCATTTGTGTTTGGCCTTGCCACACCCCCAGTGGAACCACAGAGAACACATTAAGCTGTAAATTAAATAGCCACACCACCTGGATTAGCAACGACTAACGGATAGCAAGCTAATAAAGTTACCTACACAGTAAACCGCACACCTACTTGCTCAAAATACTGTATATCTCCAAGCACCAAACATCATCACAGAACATAATTCATGTTTTCAGAAGCAAATAAAACACACATTTAAGCATAAAAAGTAAAGTAATTTTTGGCGGAGCTTTGCGAATTCAACCTACCACGAATCCAGACACAGCAGAGTGTAGCAGCGCACGGGGCGCAAGCAGGGGCACGTCAGTGTGGCGTTCAAGTACACACACAAAAAAATAATAAATCTCTGTGGTAACATAATACACCTCAACAAACAACAAAAATAAGACAGTAAATAACATAATAACGACACAAGTTGACAATAGATTAAATTAAGTACACCTTCCATAATGACAGAAAACAGCTTTTATGGTAAGTGGGATCACCAAATTATTAACTCGGTTACAAGTGCATGGACGGTGTGGTCACAAGTTGATCTAGCTGTCTATGTGTGACACAGCTGGCTGTGTGCTGACACAAATTAAGAAACCTTAGGAACAATAACTGTAGTGTTATGACAGTGGGTTAAGTGATGGCTAATAGTTTGTTTCTCTACAACAGAGTGAGGTCGAAACCCCTAAAAACTGTTTTCCTTTGGGCTTAGAAAGGCTGAATGTTGTATGTAACACATGTAAACTCAGACTCCAAAGACTAAAAATTGTACTGAGGAAATTTATTACTGACAAAACTTCACAGGAAAACAACTTGCGTCCTTCCTGTTTTCAAAATATTCCATCACAACAAATAAGGAACAAAACGTAACTGGGTAATCGTATGCGACATGTTTCCTCAAACACAACTCAAAAGATGACTCAGGCATGTTTTGTTTTGACACAGCAATGAAACAGTGAACAAACTAAGAGGCATTCAGGTGGACAGCTACATATTCTCTTTCTGGTTGAAAGAGATTAGCTGAAAGTCGCCGATTAACATAGTCACAAGTAAATCCAGGACGCCAGCCACTGCCAGCTCGCTCAATAATTTCATTTAAAAAATTGTTGTCCACATCAGTGTCTTTGATCAACTGGGGAAATAGGATCCTGGTTGAAAAATACAGTTCTGCATTTATAAACACATAAATTATTCTTTAATGTGCTTGGATGATGGTCCCCCTAAGAAAATCCTGACAATAGCCAAAACCAAGACAAATTGGAATTTACAGTGCCGAGGTTACACCTAGCAGACAGCCTGTCACTCAAAACAGCCACACTCTTAATTATGAAATACATTAAGCCTTGATAAATGTAATAAAACACATAAAAATGTCATTTGTCACAAACAGGGAAATTAGGTAAAGAGACCAAAACATGGAGGTCTATGGGGCTGACTTGCTCTTGGAGCCAACTTCAAGGGAAACTTCAGCTTTTGGCACTTCTGTGTTGGCTTCATTTTTGATCCCTGGAGGTTGTCACTTGGTGTAGTCCCAACTAATGGCTTCCTCTTTGAATTGTTCTGCTCCTTCTTTAAACAAAGAAGGCAAGGATTACCATGGTAAGTTTTTGTGACTTGTTTTCTGTTGCCGGCTTGGAGCATTGCTCCAGGGTTGTCAATGTTGGTCTGTCAGTCTGATGGTTTACTACTTGGTTCAGGCTAAAATATCTCAACAAATACTGAATGGATTGCCAAGAAATTTGCTCCAGATAACCATGTCCACCTGTGAATGAATTGTAATAATTCTGATGATCCTCTGACCATCTGATGTGCCATCATTCAAGATTCATTCAAGTGTCATTCTACACTGCAAGGTTGCACAACCATGCCAGTTGCAATGTTTCCAGCTAGAATGCTTTCTATTGCTCCACTGTAAAAGTTGACAAGAATTTGGCATGGGAATTTTGCTTTATTAAGATTCCTTATAACTTCAAATGCAGCTGTTTCTGAGCTTAATGAGCTTTCATGGTAAACTTGTTTGGAAACAGCTGCTTATTTACAAATTTAGCGCAAAGGGAGCAACATTATCCATTATCCATAAGTCCAATACTCTGTTTTAGCTCTGTTTTTGGTCTCCACCTCAGGGAAATATCTGGCCCTAGAGCTGCTTAATGCTCCACTGTGTTCACCAGCTAGTCTCTAACTGTGTCTGTCTGCTTTTTGCTAGGTAAAGTTCAGTGGGTTTACAGGGCTTTCTATTTTTCTGAAAACAGGTGCCTGCTGCAGTCGAAAACAACACAATCAGAGTGGTGATACTGAGCTAAAACAGTAATGTTGTGGGTGAGCAGATAAATTAACAGGTGAAATTCACTACAAAGCTCTGTAGAGCAGAGGGGAGCTGCAGATTCAGCTTGTTATTCTCTGTCGGTTCATCACTACATGTGACCCCTTTCACATTGTTTTCATTTGATACCATATTGAGAACAGTTCCTTTTAATGTTTAATGATGTTGCTGTTTTTTCAACCCCTTGCAGAACAATGAATTCTCAAGTAAATGTGCTCTGTATTCTCTCTGTGTGTCTGTCTGTCTTTTCCTTTTCATGCAAGCAGCAGTGGACAGCCATGTGAGAAGCGGCCCCGTATGATTGGCTACATGGACACCAACCTCAACAACAGAGCCTCTTCTCCCCACCCTATTGGTCTGGACTCATCCTGCTCTCTCTTTCAGTGCTATGTATCCAAGGAGGGTCAGATGAGCTCCAGAGCCCTGTGGAGCTCTGCTGCTGGTGTGGGTGTGGGTGCATCAGGAGGCAGCCACAGGAGGCCCAGCAGCAGTGCGGAGGAGGGGGACGGTACACTCCTGCAGGAGTTAACAGTGACAGATAATAGGACTGAGAGAGAAGCCATCTTGCAGGCCCACTTCAGTATTCCTAACTGTGTGAACTCTGAGCAGAGCTCAACTGTAGGGGAGGACCACCTGCTGCTGGGGGCAGGATCAGAGCAGCAGGAACGATAATGACCACAGTTATTTGCCGTAGGCCTGGAGAGCTGAGAGCAGCTACTCATCAAATGTGATAACTCAGGTGAGAACGGTACTGGTTTGATTTTCACAAAACGTGGATGGATGATGCATTTACACTTCCATACATTTTAAACACTGACTGGTCCCACATGACACTGACTTGCTTAAGCAGAAGTCTGTGCTCATCAGAAAAACTTCATCCTCCACCTTATTTATGGACTGTATGTCTTTAATGGTGTGAAATTAGCTGTTGTGTTTGGTTGAGAACCACTGATCTACTCTGACCTCACTCAGGCCGTCACTATAGTCTTCATCTTAAATGATGTCATCTACCTATCCTTATGATCCAATATCAACAGTCATGTTACTGACCTTAGGAGACTTGTCTCGCCATCTGTAAGAACATCTGGGTGACATACCTCCTCCTGCCCCACCTTTCTCATCTCATGCAAGACCATAAGATACTTTTGGTAACTGTGTTCAGTGCAGGTGCCTTATGTCCCTGGGATTCCCTGCTGTGTATGTTAGTAATGTACACAAGAGTGCTTATGTTGTTGCAAACCCCTTTCTTTCTTTTTTAGGTGGCTTAATTGACTGCATGTCTTCAAGGATGCAGCCTTTTATGTCTCTACACTGCCGACAGTTTTCGGGTTGTCCATACATACGTACCTCCGTCCCACTGTTGTGAACACGATATCTCAAGAATGCCCTAAGGGAATTTTTTCAAATCTCGCACAAATGTTTACTTGGACTTGTTGGGATTCACAGGACCACAGATGATTTATCATTTGGTAAAATCATCACTGGACATTTAAAGGCTTTTTCCTCTGCATGCTCTTTGTCTTCAAACAAAGAGAGCTAGGTGACACCCATCTCCACAGGAGGACTCACCTCACACCTCAGTGAGACACAAGTCTCACAACTTGATTGGACAGGACTTTTACAGTGACATGTGACTCTGTGATGTCACAGGCATGTAGAAGTTCTGCTCCCTCCAAGCCTTTTCTCTCTCTGGCTCCAGCTGTTGAACAGCTGACACCTCTTCCCGGCTGGGCCTGGAACAGCACAGAGGCCCAGACCCTTGCTCCTTGCCCCAAACCACTAAAGGGAGGGCAATTGATCACAGACTCTCTAACCTGAACTGGAAAGGTCCTCTACCTTTCCAGTTCAGGTTAGAGAGTCTGTGATCAATTGCCCTGTGATCAATTGCCCTAACCTGAACTGGAAAGGTCCTCTACCTTTCCAGTTCAGGTTAGAGAGTCTGTGATCAATTGCCCTCCCTTTAGTGGTTTGGGGCAAGCACAAGGTTTGCAACCAGCTTTCCAGAACCAAGTGAGTTAGCACCCAGCGTCTAACTCTGCTAAACCCTGAGCGACCAGCTTCCTTGGAGTTTCACCTTTGGAACAAAGGACCCAACAAAGACTGCACCTGGAACCATCTTCCCAGCCTTCTTCTGCCGGCTAACAAAGCAGTACACCACCAAGTGACTCTTTCTCCCATCCATTCAAAGATCGGTAACATAACAACTGGGCATAGCTTATCACTGCTTTGAAGGCTAAGCAAGACTGTTTAACTTGTTGTATGTGATTTAATGCTGTCATTGAGTTATTGTTGTGATAGTTTGCAGTTAGGTCATTGATTAGTTGGCTTCGCCAAAGCTAAGTGTTTAGTTTGCTAATACTGTTCACAAACAGATTCTTGCACCCAACTAAACAATCTCTGCACTAATCCAGACCGTTTGCAACATACGCCACATTGACATAGACTCATTAACAAACAGGCTTTCAACAGAGCTACACCCAAACAGGCATCTCAGAGTTCCCGCTTGTTTTCCTTTGTCTTTGTCCTGACCACACGGTCAGACAAACACCTCCCCCGACCTGAAGCCAGCCTTGATTCGGCCATTTTGGTCGTTCTCTGTTGTCAGCCATTTTGTTTTGTAGGCCAAACGGCTCTTTGATCACCACACCCGCCTTTGTCTTTCTCTTTTCTCTCTCGCACACACAACACGCGCACACACACGCATGCACACACACACACACCAAGCTTGTATAGTTAGTTAGAATTTGTGTGTTTTGGTTTGCTTTGCTAGTTTGTGAATAAATATAATTCTTTGGAATCATGCCTGCTGTCTGTTTAATGTTGCACAAGAGTGAATGAATAGTCAACCTCTGCTGCGTCAAGAACTCCGAAATCCTTCAGGCATTACCGTTAATTTTGGTTGTTGTCATTAATTTAATTATCAGTCAAACTCCAAATTAATAGTTTAGCCTATTTTATGAGACTGATACCTTTAACTGGCTATCATTACGGGAATGGTGCCCCACGAGGTGATTTAATGTTAATTAAGTCACATTAATTAACATAATTATTAATTATTAATAATTATTAATTATTTCTAGCCAATTAAATCCCAAAATATTTGGTGTCCCTTGGTGAGGCCTAATGTGTTGACGCCAACATTTTGGTGCCTCCGTGTTAAGCCCGAATTTAAATCCTAACAGACTCAACAATGAACTGATTAGAATTTAGTGGTCATAGGGTCAAAGGTCACTGTGACCTCGTCTGTCGCATTCTTGTAATTGCAATATCACTAGAGCACCTTGAATTTCTCAAAATTTGGCACAAATGTCCACTTGCCACCCCCAGAATTATATGCATTTTACCTATACTTGCTCTCTGCTTGTACATACCAGCTCCTGTAGCAGCAAGACTGGATGAGGAGATACCCACTGAGGTCGAGAAACTTCCTGAGCTTAACAACCCACAATCCCGACATATAAAGACAATGGCCAAAAAGACATTGCCTGGCGAGTCATAGCTCTGGAAACATGCTCTTCAGGTGAGAAATCAAGTTTGATTAGGGGCTGTCTACACATGATTTTAAGGTAACGCAGAGGTGGAAGAGGTACAGATATTTTAGTAAAAGTAGTAACTACTTTGTGTGGTCATCGGTTAACGAGCTGCAGTGCGACATATGCAGTGTGTGCTAGGGGCAGCACTTGACACACGTCACATAATGCACCGTACCACAGCTCTTATAAAATTATGATATTTCAGCACCATTCCACATATAACCATTGCTGCTATTGTCTAATGCAGCCATCAACTTTAAATACTCTATATGAACTCCAAATGATGGAAATCCGTCATAGCGATGGAGAAGTTTAATCCCTATGGCCATTACTCAAGAATTCATATGCTAATTATGACAAAATTTCACACAGATGTCTAATAGGACATAATTACAAAGTGATGACATTTTATATCCAAAAGGTCAAAGGTCAACTTTACTGTGACATCATAATGTTCTGCAAAAACAGTTTTCTTGCCATAAACAGAACAGGTCAGATACTGAATTGGTGACTCTAATCTTGAAACTGTGCTGATGGTATAAATCTTCTGTGCTGCCGGGGGAAGATGTGTGTGGAGCATCCACTTTTTCACAGACATGGATGTAAACTGATGCTACAACTCGGCTGGTTTGTGGATGCATACAACTGTGAGGCAGTCATTCTAGCTTTGGGAAGTGAAGTGTCTATTTTGTGAATCTGATTTGCTGTGTTTTTCCCCAGTAGCTCCCTGTTCACAGTGGGTGGGGTTTTGTAGCAGTGCACAATGAGTGGGAATTTTTACATTACCTGTGATTGCAAGGCCCCAGTAGTTAAGCCTTGAATAATGCTCAAACACAATTTATTTCAGTATTACAGCCCTTCCCAAATGAAAATACAGAATGAAAAAAAAATAAATAAATAAATGAAAGGTAATTGAAGGAATGTCCACTTTAATAATTAAACTCTTCGTCCAACTAAAGACCATCTTCATTGATTGAAAATAATCCAAGCGAGGAAGGAAATGTTCAATGTCCACCCTTCAAAATGCAAAAATAGGAACCATTATTTAACCATATTTCATTCTTCCTGACCGCCAGATGGCAGTGCTTTAGTACTGGGTGACTTATAGCAGCAAGGTCAAGAGGAATTCTTCCCATGCTAAGGGACAGAAGCAGTTGACAGGACGGCCACTGCCACAGCTGTAGGGGCAGCAACACTGACACGGTAATAGCGAGCAAAAGTACATGAAGACCCCCGGGTCGTGGCAGCACAGATGTCTTGCAGAAAGACCCCTTTCAATGCTGCCCAGGATGTGGACACACTCAGAGTAGAGTGATACATTACTAGGGGCTGGTAGGCCTAGCGACTTGTAGAATCACATACATAATCCAGTTAGAAAGTCTGTCTTGATAGAGGTGTACCTTTCTTACAACCCCCATAGCAAACAGAAAGTTGGTCAGTCTTACGTAAATTGGCAGTGGCCTCCACATGTGTCTTGAGTGGCCGAAGAGGGCACAGTAGCTCAGATGGCTCCTCTGCCCCCTGAGATGAAACAGGTGGATTAAATGCTGCCAACTCGATGACTTGATTTACATGTGAGGAAGGCATTCTCTTTGGCAGGAAGGGCAGATTTGGTAGGAGAGTAACCCCTGAACCCTCAGGATACCAACGCATGCACATCTGGCTCACTGAAAGGGCATGGAGTTCCCCACTTCCTTTGCTGATGTGATAGCAAGCAAAAACGCTGTTTTGGCAGATAACATCTCAATTTGGTCTGCCCCAGTGGCTCAAATGGGGGCAGACACGAGGACCCCAAAACTAATTTCAAGTCCCATGATGGCACTACAATGACTCTTGATAGTCTAAGCCTAAGTGCACCCTTCAAAAACTGACTAACCAGGTAGTGGAACCCCACTGTGTGGTTGTTCACTCTCATATGTCCTGCTGAAATGGTCGATAATCAAGGTTGATGCACATCTGCCAACATCCAACAGTGACTGCAGAAAAGGCAGAATGATGGCCACCAAGCAGGTCTCTGCATCCTCACCATGTGTTTTGCACCACTGGGAAAAAATAGAGTGACCAAGTGGAGGGAGCCCTTAAACTTAACAGTGTGGATCACCGACTGGTCACAGGAAGCCAGGAGTGGATCCAGGTTTCCAATGGCCAGACACACAGCTGAAGGCGATCCGGATTTGGATGCCATATGCATCCTTCCAGCTGAGACAGAAGGTCTGGTCTCCTTGGGAGGTGCCAAGGCTCCCCACTGAGTAGTTTCAGAAGCACTGGAAACCATGGTCTCTCTGGCCAGTTGGGAGCCACTAGAAGCAATCTGTGGCCTCCATGTTGGACTCTGTCCACTGTTGCCCAAATTAGGGAAATCGGTGGAAAGGCATACAACAGGCAGGTCAGCCAAGCGTGAGCTAAGGCATCCTGCCCCAACAGACTGGTGGTCTCCCTTAGGGGGTACCAGTGGGGACAATGCGTTGATGTTTCGAAGGCAAAAACGTCCACATCTGCTCTGCCATATAATCTCCAGTCTCCCTGTGTCAGCCCTTGGTGTGACAGCATATCTGCTGCACTGTTCTGCATGCCTGGTAAATGTATGGCTCTGAGGCTCAAACAGTGGGGAAATGACCATGTAAGGAGCTGCTGTGCCACTTGCAGACCCTGCCTGGACGGAGCACCCCCCTGATGATTGACATGATATACTGCAGAGGCGCTTTCTGTCCGGATGAGAACATGCCGGCCCCTTAGTATTGGGAGTTCGGTCAGACAACTCTGGATTGAATTTAACATTTATATTGAGCATAAATGTTGCATACTGAAGCAGAGCATGAATAGTTTTAGGATGGCTGAAGCAAGTTTGGCGTCGGGCTCTATCTCAATTTAT